TGAGTTACGAGAAAGCATTTGAAAATTTTGATTCCTGTAGACTTGAAAGGCAATGAAGATAGTTTTTCCTGCAGCCACAGTTTGCTGATGGTGGAGTAAGTGAATGTTGTAGGTTGCAAATGAGGCAACCTACTTTAGTTGACGACTTTATTCTGGATTATGTCAAGCTTCCAGAGTGTTAATGTATTAAGTGCTAAAAGCTGCACCTTTTCAAGCAAGTAGAAAATGTTCCATCACACTCCCGATGATTCTTGTAAATGCTGAAGAGACATTGGGTAGTCAGGTGGTGAGTTTCTTACCACACAATTTATGTACTTTGTCCTGTTCATGTTCTGCTCAGTAGTGACCCTGAAGATATTGATGTCAGAGGATTAGCAACTGTAATACCACAAAGTCATGGGAAGGTGTTTAGATTCATTTGTTGGAAATTATCACAGAATCCCTACAGTGTGGAAACAGGCCATTCAGCCCAACAAGCCCACACCGTCCCTCTGAAGAGCATCCCACCCAGACCCATCCCCCTATCCCTGCATTTCCCATGTCTGACCCACCTAACCTAAACATCCCTGGGCACTACTGGCAATTTAGCATGACCAATGCACCTACCCTGCAGATCTTCAGACTGTGGAAGGAAACCGGAGAACCAGGATGAAACCCACGCTGACACGGGAAGAATGTGCAAACTCCACACAGAGTCACCCGAGGCTGGATTTGAACCCAGGTACCTGGCGCTGTGAGGCAGCAGCGCTAACCACTGAGCCACCGTGCTGCCCCTAGAAACAGTGATAAGAGTGGGATTCAAAACCACATGTGCAAAGCACAATGGATTAGCAGTCCATCGCCTTAACCTCTCGGCCACCCCTCCCATGCGTTTATGGTCAAAGCCAGGCACTTGTGCCGTCAGTACGTTACTTGTCACTTGTCTTGCGATTGTTGATCAAGGAGTTGCATTATTTTAGGAGTTGAAAATTGAACTTAACATAGTGCAACTAACAGCAAATAACCCCACTTCTGACCTGATGATGGAAAGTATTGCATTGATGAAGCAGCCAAAGATGGTTTGAGGGTCTCAGACATTGGTGTGGAGACTGCAGCAATTTCCTGGGGCAGACATGATTGAACAGCCACTCTTCTTTGTGCTAAGTATAATTTCAGTGAAAAACTTTTCATCAGGTTCCAATTATGTTCCATTTTTATCAGTCTCCTTGATGCCATACTCCAGCAAATGTTACTTTGATGTAAAGGGCAGTTGACCTTAGCTCACTTCTCCAATTCAATATTTTTGTCCACATTTGGACTAACAATTTAATGAGGTCTGGAGCAGAGTGATCCTTGTGTAACACAATGTGACAGGTAGGTATGGCTCGACAGCATTGTTGGTAATATGTACCACCGTATCATTGATGGAGGCAAGATAAATGGGCAGTTACATTCTGTCTTTTATCACACTTGGCGTTTCTTCCAAATGTTCAAAAGGAGGGCAGTTCTGTTTCTTTAACATAATAGGTCACAATCAACAATGGATTTCCTTGTTTATTCTTGATCTGACACTATGAGATTGTATAATGTTTGGAATCAACATTCAGAAGTTCCAGTCATCTTTCTAGACAACATTTCATCCTTTCATCCAAGTTATTTATATAAATTATAGAGTGTTCACTCAACTCACTAAATATTGTCAACCAGAAAATGACCCATTAATACCTACTCTGTTTCCTGTTAGCCAGCCAATTTTCTATTCATTCAGTACATCACCATCTATGTCATGAGCTTTTATTTTCCACAATAAACTTTGGTGGGACCTTTGAGAGTCTGTCATACTGATGAAAAGGGACATAACTAGAGGTAGTGATATAGGAGTGGGGATGTTACCTGAAAGGAATCATGAAGTGCCTTTGTGTGGCTGCTCTACCAATGTTTGACACAAGTACCTAAATGTCAGTAAGGATGACTTCGCTAAGTCAACTTGACTTGGCATGCCTTTTTCATGTTTGATGCCTGAATCAATGCTAGGTGACAGTTCTAGTTTTGCTTTCAGCACACTTTTGTTGTCACAAATCACTCAATTACAGCAAACTGTCAAGTCATTTCAAAACACAATTTAGAACCAAACACCTTGGTATAGTTCTGAAGTCACAAATAGGAAACGGGTAAGGGCAGAGGATTTCTGTACTTCAAGGAGACCAGTGAACTAGGTGGATCTATACAACAAGTTGAAAGTTTCATGGTCGTCATTAACAATACCAGCTTCATTTAACTAATGGACTTTGAACTTGGTGGGATTTGAACTCAGATTTGCTAACCATCATCAATTCTTTTGAATTATGGTCTAAGTAATATAATAATGCAACATACCCTTGAGGCACTTAAGGTAATTTGTTGAGCCAGTGAGGTTGAGGGGCAATTCTAAGCATCAATAGACAATTATGCAAAATGAAATGAAATGTTTAATAAATTCAGTCATAGTAAAATTCAAATATAATTGCTCTCTGTGCTGCGTTTGCTGATCTCAGCCAAGACAGCAACAGTCGTACATTCATGTTTTCACTCTGTACCTAGCAACTCAACTAGGAAATGCATATGACTAGATAAACAAATTCACTTCAACGCAACTACCTTGCACTATGTTAAGGAACAAGTACTTGGGTGAAGTATCAAGCTGTCCCTTTTGCCGATATAACTATATGCCAAGAGAAAACCATTTTCAGCAGACCAGGGGAATTTTTAGCAGTTTTAGAATGGTTCAGTGAATACACATACTGTATGATGTTATAAGATCATACGAAAATAAGAACCAGATTGAGCCACTTGACTCCTCAAGCCTGCTCCTCCATTCAATTGGATTATGGCTATTCTGACATGCCTCATGTCCATTTTCAAGCCCTTTTCCCATAACTCTAGATCCCACACTGATCAAGAATCCATCCTTCTTGGCCTTAAATATAAACAAGAACTCTGTGGCAAGTGTGGCGTTGGTGTGGCAGCATGCTCCATTTGCTGTTTTCGCCTAGCTTCCACTTTTTCTTGACAGCAAACCTCAAGGTGCTCAATGCCTTCCTGGATGCTCCTCCTCCACTTTGGACGGTGTTGGGCCAGTGATTCACAGGTATCTATGGGAATGCTGCACTTCACCAGTGAGACCTGGAGCTCCTGCCGCTTACACCTAGAGTTCACCTGCCGCTTCGAAGCTGGGAGTAGACCACCAGCTTGGGGAGTCTCGCGTCAGTCATGCGGATGATGTGCCCAGCCAATTGTAGCTGGTCAGGGTGGTCAGTGCCTCGATGCTGGGAGTGTTGGCACGTCATTCTTTCCAACTGATTCGCAGGATCCTGCGCAGGCATCGTTGCTGGTACTGCTCCAGTACCTTGAGGTGTCTGCTGTAGACAGTCCATGTCACAGAGCCATATGGGAGGGCTTGATCTTGGTGTCAGATCTGATGTTGTTGTCCTCAAACACCTTTACCTCAGGCGGCCAATCCCTTCATCAATAGTTGCTTTGGCTGACAAGACACTTTCGAGGTAACGGAGGTGGTCAACATTCTCTAAGGCCTCCCTATGGACCTTGATTGTCAGGGCTTTGCTCCACAATGCCAGGCCACATTGGTGGAGGACCTTCATCTTGCGGATGTCATGATGAGACCCATGTTCTCGCATGCCTCTGTAAAGATGCTGACGATGGTCTGGAGCACATCCTCTGAAATTGCGCATACACAAGCATTATCTGCGTTCTGCAGTTCCATGACACCAGTTGGGGTAACTTTCATTTAATCTTGAAGGAGGCAAAGTTTGAATAATTTCCCCACAGGTTCTGTAAGTAAATTCCATTCAAGTGGGAAGCTTGTCAGCAGTGAGGTGAAGCATTGCAGCTAAGTAGATCAAGAACACTATTGGGGTAATGACACAGCCCTGCTTGACACCAGTCTGAAGAGGGAAATGGTTGATGGTGGTGTCATTTATTATTACCACAACTTCCATGTCATCGTGGAGTAGGCGAAGGATGGTGACAAACTTCATGGTGCAACCAAAGCGGAGAAGAACTCTCCATAATGCTTCCCGATTGATGGTGTCAAAGGTCTTTGTAAGGTCAAAGGCGGCCATGTACAGGGTAGATTCTTTTCTCTGCATTTCTCCCGCAGTTGTCGCAGTGAAAATCATGTCTGTTGTGCCCCTCCGAAAGATAAGCACTTAAATCACTGGATGAGCCAAAATTGTAAACTGAAGCTTCAAAATCTCCCCTCCCCTACTGCATCCCAAAACCAGCCCAGCTCGTCCCCGCCTCCCTAACCTGTCCATCCTCCCACCTATCCCCTCCTCCCATCTCAAGCCCAACCCCCATCTCTTACCTACTAACCTCATCCCACCCCCTTGACCTGTCCGTCCTCCCTGGACTGACCTATCTCCTCCCTAACTCCCCACCTACACTCACCTTTACTGGCTCCATCCCCGCCTCTTTGGCCTGTCTGTCTCCTCTCCACCTATCTTCTCCTCTATCCGCCTCCCCGCTTCTCCCTATTTATTTCAGAACCCCCTTCCCCTCCCCCATTTCTGAAGAAGGGTCTAGGCCCGAAACGTCAGCCTTCCTGCTCCTCTGATGCTGCTTGGCCTGCTGTGTTCATCCAGCTCTACACCTTGTTATCTCAGCCTTCCATCCATACTTCCCGCTGTCTCAAGAAAGCAACCAACATAATCAAATCTCTTCCACGGTCTTCCATCAGGCAGAAGGTATAAAAGTTTGAATACACATACAAATAGATTCAAGAACAGCTTCTTCCCCGCTGTTATTGGACTTTTGCACAGATCTCTCAAATGTTAGTTCCAATCTCTCTCTCTGCACTTTTTGTGCAACTGTAACACTGTACTCTGCACTCTGTTCTGCTACCGTAATGCACTCTGTAAGGTACAACCTGCCTGTATAGCATGCATAGCAACACTTTTCACTGTATCTCAGTACGTGACAACAATAGATCAATCAATTTCGAAGTACCAGGTTGGCAAACTTACATCACTCCGTGAAGCAATGGCACGATGAAGTGGGGTTAACCACATGTTATCTTTAGCATTGACACGTGCTCCTGTAAAATAAAAATCGCAAATAGAGTAATTGTACCCTGCGCATTGAAAATAAACACATGCAATATGGAGGCTTCTTCAATACCTTGGATTAAGGATACCACAATGTAGCACTCATTTTAAAGTTACTAAAGTAGAGCAAGTAGCAACAACATAGGTTGATAAATATATAATGCAAATTGGTACAAATATGAATTACAAAATGCTATCTCTAAACCAGTTTCATTGTGTAAGATCCTCAATCTATAATGATCAGATGGACCTCTCCAAAGATTATTCCGAAGTGTTCTGGTATTGAGGTCATCTATATTGAGCTGTTGCCTGTATCTTAACACAGGAAGTGCCATCCACTAATCAACTTATGCTCGCTAGTCTACATTGATCCCTAGACCAACAACACCTAAATTTTAGAAGTTTCATCTTTATTTTCAAATCCCACCAAGATCTCAGCCCTCCTCTCCGGCTTGCATTTCTCCAATTCTGGTCTTTCGCTCATTCCTTTTTTTTTCTTCTACGATTGCCAACTGTGCCTTCCCTCCCTGAAGCCCTGCCTCTTCATCTTCTCCTCCTCTCAAGTTATTACTTATAACCGATCACTATAGTAGAGCTTCTGAGTGCACGCCCCTACATGTAAATACATGTTATTATTAAGTGTTAAGACTGTCTGACTCTATGACCATAAGGATTAAGAACAGGAATAGGTGGTTTGGCACCTCGAACCTGCTCTGCCATTTAACAGGATCACAGCTGATCTGAAATTCCTCATGTCCACTTTTCTGCCCTTGCCCTGTAAACCCTCTACTCCCCTACTGATCAAGAATCTGTCTATCTCAGACTCTGCACATAGCTCGTTGTGGTAAGAGAGTGCCAAAGACTGTCAACACTCAGAAGAAATTCATCCTCATCTCAGTCTTAAATTGACACCCCTTTATTTTGAGACTATGGCCTCTGTTCCCAGACTCTCCCATAAAGGAAACATCCTCTCAGCATTTACCCTGTCAAACGCCTTAAGAACCCTTCAAGTTTCAATGAGATACCTCTCATTCTTCTGAACCCGTGAGTAGTCACTACCTGTTTAGCCTTTGCTCATAAGACAATCTCTTCATACCAGGGATCATCCTAGGGAACCTTCTCTGATCTCCTTCCAATGAAATGATATTTTTCTTTAAATAAGGGGGCCAAAACTGCTCACAGTATTCCAGATAAAGCAACTTTCCATTTGCAGTAAGCCTTCCCTACTCTTAAGTTCCAACCCCTTTGAAATAAGGGCCGACATTCCATTAGCCTTCTTGATTACCTGCACACTTGTATTTAGCTCAGGGGGATTTGTTTGAATGGACATGGAAATTTCTAATTGAATTCTAGTGATTCTGAATTTATCACGATGAACATAAAGTAATTATATGGAAACGAAGATGAATGGCCAAGTTGTCTAAACCAGCTACAAATTGCGTTTCAGAAAAGAGCAGACATTTGTAAAGCATCGTTCATCTCCTTTGGGATATCCAAAACTAGCTTACAGCCAATTAAATACTTTAGAAGTGTAGTCAATTGTAAAAATGTAAATAAATACAACAGTGAATTTCCACAAAAAAGAGAAATGACCAGATAACTCTTTTTTGCGCTGATGTTCGAAGACAGGTAAATGCTGGCCAAGATAAAACATCAACAGATCTTGCATATCCACCCTGCCACTGTTAACAGTCCTCTCTTCCAAACCTGCAGTTATCACCCCTTTTTAAAACAAAATGTTTGAACCCTGCCATTTTTGCAAACTACCATACCAGCTCCAACTTCCTTTTCCTCGGGTCATACAGCATGGAAACAGATCTTTTGATCCTACTAGTTCCTCCAAATTAAACCAGTCCCACTTGCCCGCATTTGGCCCATATCCCTCCAAACCTTTCTTATTCATATACTTATCCAAATGTCTTTTAAATTTTGTAACTGTACCTGCATCCATCACTTATTTCACACACAAACCACTGTGTAAAAAAGTTGCTCCTTGTGTCCTTTTTAAAAACTTTCTTCTCTCACCCTGAAGGTATGCCCCCTAGTTCTTTTTAACTTCCCCATCTCAGGGTAAAGAAAACCCTTGCTATTCACCTTATCTATGCCCCCTCATGATTTTATAAACCTCAATAAGGTGACCCCTCAACCTCCTACACTCCAGTGAAAAAAGTCCCAGCCTATTTTTATAACTCAAACCTTCCATTCCCAGCAACATCCCGGTGAATCTTTTCTGAACTTTCTCCAATACTCTTTCCCTCCCAAGTTATTCATTTTTGCCTCACACATCAGAGCCCATTTTTCCAGAAGTTCATATTTAAATACCCTTCTATAGTAACCCAAACAGCTCCAGGCCAAATCATAATTTGCTTCCCCCATGACAATGAGAAAGGCAAATGGTCTCCTTTCCACTTTATGACCTATCTGCAGCCTTGGACATAGCTGATCACTCAATCTCCCTCTTACGCCTCTCCACTGTTGCCCAGCTGGGAGACACTGCAGTCACATGCTTCAATGATCATCTATCCAAGCATCATCAATGGCCTCTCTACCTACTTAGATCATTAGTCTGGCACTGCCCCAAGATCTAACCTTGGATTCCTCCTATTTTTGATTTACAAACTGCCCCTCAACATCACCATCAGAAAACACATGATGTACAGTGACAGCATCCACCTTCAAAAAACCATCCTCATACTATCACTCAATTGTCAGACGTCTTGCCTGACATCCAGCATTGGATGAGCAACTATTTTCTCTAATTAAACAGAAAGACTGAAGCCACTGTTACCATAAACTTTGCTCCTCTGCAATAGACTCTGTCCTTCTCCTTACAAGTATCAGAGGCTGAATCAAACTGCAGATTTATCAGCACGTTTGGTCAGAAAATTAGCTTTGTGATCACACAGATGTGTATTTAAAGATTGCCTATTGCAACTTCTAATTTTCCTAGCCGATCCTCGTCTCAGTTCTTCTGCTGCTGAAACTCTCATTCATATTATCTGTAGGCTTTCCTGTTCTGCATGGTCACCTGGATATTCTGCACTCTGTAGACATGGGATCATCCAGAGCTCTGTTTGCCTGCATCTAAACTTAAGGAAATCCCTTTGGCCTAACAATTCTATACTTATTGACCTGCACTGACTCCCGATTAAACAACACCTAGATTTTCACGTTATCATTCTTGTTTTCAATTCCTTGTATGGTTTGGCTCCTCCCTACGTCTAATTTCCTCCAGCTCCACAACCTTCCAAGTTAATTGGCACCCCCTAATTCCAGTTTGAGTATTTCCATTTTTAATGGCTCCCCTATTAGTAGTTGCTCCTTCAGCTACCTACGTACCAAGCTCTGGAATGCTCTTTCTATCACGTTCTTTTGAAGCTTTTGGTAAATCAACTCTAATATTGCGTATACATGGTGTCATGTTTTGTTTTATAATGTCTCTGTTAAAAGGGGAGAAATAAAGTAATGTGTGAACTACATGGTGTATCAAACAAGGATTTCCTGAATTTTTAATGAACACAATGTTTAATTCCACACAACCCACTCATGTATGCACTATCATTGTTCAAAATACTCAAGCAAAAACTTGTTGCCAATCTCTGCTGTTCAGAAACAGCTAGCACAAATAGCAACGTCCCTGGTAAACCTACCTGACAAGATAAGAAGCTCGATGATTTCGGCATCACCAAGAAAGGCAGCTGCATGTAGTGGTGTCCGCTTTTCAGGATCCTTTTGAAAAAAATTCATAATTGAGCATGCTAAAACCACATACATAAACAATCTCTTCTTCTGAGTGTCATTAATAAATTAACTTGGATGGGGAGATGAATGGTTTGGATTTAAAATTGATTGCGCCAATCAGGGACTAGACACATGAGCCAACAGGGTTAAATGACTCATTCAAGCTGCTATAAATTGATAGTGGATGCACTAAACCACTCAATTCTTTGCCACTATTTGTTCGTGCACTAGGAACAACCCTATTCATTTCCACAAAAAGCCGAAATAAATAACACACAGGTACCTTGCATTTCGTGCCTTCCAGCAAACTTCTATGTACCACGTAATACAAACAAATTAGTTTCATGGTAAATTATCAAAATAAAAATTCTTGAAAGGCTCCAAAGTAAATACGGACTGGTCAATTTGGAATTGTAAGATACAGATCTGTTGTTCTGCATTTGGTGCTTTTAGGCTGTGTTAAGATTCCCAGAGACAACAAACACAAAGATAAGTCTGACCAACCAGTAATTAACTGAAAAAATTCCTTCACAAGATTTCACATTTTTAGGAAACACAGTTGTTGCTGTACTTAAAACAAAAAAGCAAGCATTACGCACCTAGAATTTTGCTCTGTAATTAAGCTGTGAAATCTATTCTACTGTTCAGGTACCTGCAACAGTTCTCTTCGACATTACAACAGCTTGAGAATTTACTCACTTGTTCCAACTGTCTCAGTCTGTTCCCAACATTAGCGGGCCTGTTTCTGTAAAGCAAACACTCTCAAAAAAAGGAAACACCATAACTCCCTGAGAGTATCTCCATTTTGGTTTTCTATTGTGAGCTCCCCATTAAGTTTACCTTCAAAACACACTTTTGACTCTCTGATCTATTTCTCTCCGTAATTAAATTAATAAACGTTTTTGCACATTTGATGATGCCACCAAGGAACTCCCTTGTTTACAAGTTGATTTTTATTTTCAATCTGGGAAATACATAAACAAATATTTTATGATGATAGGGGTAGACTTGCTGGCTCTAACACAAGCTTAAGAGATAGTTTGTGTATTAGCTAAAGTTGTTTCACTTCCAAGCCTGACTTTATTATTAATGCATTCAAATTCCTCATGTTAGGGGTGTTTATCAGTTTTTCAATCCGAAATCTCCTTTCATCTTGCATTTAACATTTTAATCTCCAACCTACAAGTTATACTCCCACATCTTATACCTCTAATACAAATCACAGAATCAATGTTGCCCATTCCTTACTGCTCTTCAGAGGTTATGGTGAACCGCGTTCTTGAACTGCTGCAGTTCATGTGGTTGGTGTAAGTAAAAGATAAACTCTCCAGAGTCCTACCAGACTATAGGGTTGCTCTTTTCTCAATAGAGAGATGACTGGTTAACTTAAGGGTCACCGCACCTCAGGCGAGGGGAGAAGTTGAGAAGGAGAGTCCTTCATAGTAACCTCATCGGGTACAGGAAATGAACTCACACTGTTGGCGTTACTACAGCACAAACCAGCCATCCAGCCACCTGATTCCCTTGTATATAATGTATCAATGAGCCAGATTTTGGTTTTGAGTGTTGATCTTGGCTGACTGGAGTTCGTGATGCTAGCATTAAAGCTCAGTATGACCTTAGAGGTTTATAAAATCATGAGGGGTATAGATATGGTGAATAGCAAAGATCTTATCCTCAGGGTGGGGTTAGTTCAAAACTAGGGGGCATATTGTCAAGATTAGAAGAGAAAGATTTAAAAGGGACCCAAGGGCCAACTTTTTCCACACAGAGGGTAGTTTGTATGTTGAATAAACTGCACAGGAAGTGGCAGATGCAGATACAATTACAACATTTAAAAAACATTTGGACAGGTACATGAATAGGAAAGCTTTAATGCAATAATGGGCCAAACACAGGCTAGTGGGACTAGTTTAGTTTGGGAAACTTGATCAGCTTGTCCAAGTTGGATCAAATGGTCTGTTTCCATACTGTATGACACTTTGATGCTTTACAAATGAATGAATGAATGAATGATTTTATTGTCATGCGTATTTTACAGTTGTGAAATACTGCATTGTGAAATGCAACAAAATACGTGAAAAGCTTTCATTTGTTACCATAATACGGTGACATTGTGATAGTTTTAAGAAAAAGAGGAAAATGAAAAGATATAGCTTAAAGAGAAGTCCATCTACATTCTGAGTTGGCTTGGAACCATCACCTCACTGCTGCTTGCGCAGACCCACCAACTTCCAAGTCACGTCTCTTGTCAGGGCCCACCTCGTTGATGTCGCTGTGATGCCCTTCCACCACTGTTTCATCGCCACCAGTGCCAGCCCCACCAACGATGAAGTCGCCAATCCTCGGGCGCCTTCTTTTGCTGCTGGGCCTACCTCACTAGTGTTGCCTCCAACAATGTAGCAGCCCTGGAAAAGTAAGGGTTCGCTCTCCTCCATGCAAAGAAATGAATACTGTAGGGAAATGCTGTTGGGCAAACCAAAGGAATTGAAAGCTGATACATTCCCAGGACCTGATAAGCTTCATCTCAGAGTACCTAAGGAACAAGCCCAAGAAATAGCAAATGTGCTATTGGTCATTTTCCAAATTTCTACTCGCTCTGAAACAGTTCCTATGGAATGGACAGTACCTAATGTACCCTCACCTTTTTTTTTTTTTTTTTAAGAAGGGTGGCAGACAGAAAACAGTAAATTATAGACTGATTAGCTTGAGATCAGTAGTGGGAAAAAATCTAGAGTCCATTATGTAAGAATGTAATAACAACTTGGAAATTAATAACAGAATCAAGCAATCAGCATGGATTTATGAAAGAGAGAGGTTGTGCTTGACAAATCTGGAAGCTTTTGAAGATGTAGCTAATAGAGTGGATAAGGGGGAGCCTGTGGATCCTGTTTATTTGGACTGTCAGAAGGCTTTTCATAAGATCCCAATAAGAAATTAGCATTTAAAATTGAAGCACATGAGACTAGAGATTGTGTACTGAAATGGATTGAGAACTGATTGACAGATGGGAAAACAAAAATACAAATATTGTGTAGTGGCAGGCAGTGACTATTAAGATGCCACAGGGATCGATGCTTGGACGTCAGCTATTCATAATGCTATTAATGATTTAAATGAGGAAACTACTTGCCAGATCTCCAAGTTTGCAGATGACACCGATCTGTGTGGAAGGGAATGCACAGAAGCTTCAGCATGATTTGGACAAATTAACTAAATAGGCAAATAAATGACAGATACAATATAATTTGGATAAACGTGAGCTTACCACTTTGATAGTAAAACCAGCAGACAGAGTATAATGCGAACAACTATAGATTGGATAACTGAAAGTTAACACGAAGGTGCAGCAGGCAGTCAAGAAGGCAAATGGTTTTTGTGGTGACAGGATTCAAGTACAGGAGCAGGGATGTATTGCAAGTATACAGGGCACTGGTAAGACCACAACTGAAGTTTTGCTTACAGTTTGGTCTGCTTATCTGAGGGAGGATGTTCTAGCTATTAGGGGAGTACAAATAAGGTTTACTAGACTGTTTCTTGGAATGGTAAGATTGATGTACAAAGAGAGACTGGATTGGCTTAGACTAGATTCACAAGTGTTGAAGAATGAGAGAGGATCTCACAAACCTATCAAATTCAAACAGGATTAGATGCAGGAATGATATTCTCGATGTTCATGGAGTCCAGAACCAAGGGTTGCAGTCTAAAGGATAAGAGATAGGCCTCTTAGGACAGAGACAAGGAGAAATTTCTTCACCCAGAGAATGATGAGCCCATGGAATTCTCTGCCACAAGAAATTATTGAGGCCAAAACATTGAAGACTTTCAAGAAAGATGCAGGCATACTTCTTCGGACTAAAGGGATCAAAAGGATATGGGAAGATGGTGGGAACGGCGTACTGAGTTGGAAGTTATTAACAATCATATTGAACGGTGTAGTAGGCTCAAAGGTCAAATGCCTTATTCCTGCTCCTATATTCAATACTTATATGTTTCTATTAAATTACAAACTTAAAGCACTTCAGAGCGTACACAAAAATGTACTTTCAATGGTATTTACTTGTGACTATGAATACAATAAGCTAAATACAAGTATTGAAAAACATCCTGGTCTTGGCAACATGTTCTTGCACATACAAACTGAAATACTTGACTGTGATCTCTAGTCAATTGAAGTTGCGCATTATTCATCAAAACAATCCAGATACGAGAGTTGAGTTTTGCAAACTAATCAGTTAAAAAAAATGTTCTGGAAACAAGTTTCTTGCAAAACATTTAACAGTGACTTACCAAAGCGTTGACATCTTCGGTTTTATAGATCAACATCCGCACTTCATCAGGATCCCCGTTAAATATTGCCTGGACCAACGGAGGCTAGGAGAGAAAGAAAAACATTTCTCCTGTTTGGTCATTTTCCAGAATTTAGAAAATATGTATAAAGGTTCATATGAATCAAAAATTCAAAATGAAGAGCTCAGAAAATGACAACTCACATTTCAGCATTAAAGTAATACAACATATTTCAAACTCCAGACAGCCTCTTGATAATAGACCTTTCTCCCTCAGTTAGAGTATATTAAAAAGGTACCTCAACAATGTGAAAAAAAAACGAAGAAATTCAATACTTTGCCAATAAATACTTCAACATTTGTTTATGTAAAATCAAAACAGTAATGATAGAAGGTGGACTACCAAAGCGGACTGTTCAATTGTAATAAAATTGTTCTATGACTACACAATTACTCTCTTCCTTTGGATACTCTACTTTAAAATTAGCACAAGAAATAGCAGAAGTAGACCATATGACTCACTGAACCTGTGCCATCATTCAATATAATCATGGCAATCTTCGGCTTCAAATCTACCTGCCCACATGCTCCCCAGATAAAATTCCCCGAGAAAGCAAAAAACTGTCAATGCAAGCTTTAAAATTTATTCAATAATGGAGCATCTGCAGTTCTAGGGTAGAGAATTCCCAAGATTTCACATCTCAAGTCTTCTAACCTCCAGATTTACACACTCAAAGGACAACTTTGTCACCCCAGAGGCCACAGAGATTTATAGAGTTTTCACAGCATGAAAAGAGGCCCTTCAGCCTATCACGTCTGCGCCATTCATCAAACAGCCATCTATTCTAATTCTATTTTTCAGCAATTGGCCCTTAGCCTTGTAAGCTATGGTGTTTCAAGTTTTCATCTAACCCTATCGCAGCTACTTAAATGCCTGGGGATTCCCACTTCTACCAGCCTTTTAGGCAGAATGGTCCAGATACCCATAACCCCGAGTGTAAAAAACATTCCTGCAAATCCCCTCTCAACCTCCTGCCCCTTATCACAAAACTGAGTTCCCTGGTTATGGATTCCCTCTACTAATGGGAAATGTTCCAGCCTAACTACCCTATCTGGGCCCTACAGAACTCAGATTCCTGCTCTACCTTCTCTGTCCTAGGAAAAACAATCCCAGCCTATGCATTCTGTCCTCTTAGCTGAATCATTTCAGTCCAGATAACATCCTGGTGAATCTCTTATGACCCCACACATCCTTCCGATAGTGTGGCAACAAAAACTCTACAGAGTTCTCCAGTTGTTGCCTAACCAGGTCTTATACAGCTCCATCATAACCTCCTTGACCTTGTATTCAATGCCTTGACTAATGAAGGCAAGTATCTCATGTATCTTCTTAACCACCTGTGCTGCTTTCAAGGATCTATGGGCATAAACACCAAGGTGCCTTGATCTTCTGTGTTTACTGGAGTCCCACTGTTCAATGTGTATTCCCTTGCCTTGTTAGTCCTCCTGAAATGCATCAGGATTAAATTTCATTTATCACTGTTCAACTCATCTGATCAGTCCATCTACAGTTTCCTGTTCAAAGAAAACAGCAAAATACTGTGGATGCTGGAAATCTGAAACAAACACAGAATGCTGGAAAAACTCAGCAAAATCTGTAAAGAGAGAAAAAGCAGTTAATGTTTGCAGTCCTGTACGACTGAAGAAGAGTCATAATGATCTCAAAATGTTAATTCTGTTCCTCTATCCTCATATCTGCCAGACCTATGGAGTTTTTCCAGCATATTGTGTTTATATTGTCCTGTGGCTTAAGGCATTCCTCAAGTTATCTGCAGACACATTCACCATATCTCTTACGTTCATGTCTCAATCATTAAAGTTCACAACATACAATGAGGAATGCAGCATCAAACCTTGTGGAACATCACTGGACACAGGGCTTCCAGTCACAAATACAGCCTTTGACCATCATCCTCTGTTGCTGCAACTCAATCAAATTTAGATGCAATTTATCAAACTACCCTGGATTCTGTGGGCTCAGAGTTTCTTAACCAGCCTGCCATGTGAGATTTTGTCAAAAGTGCAACTACACTAACTGTATTACCCTCATCTATATACCCAGCCACCTCTTTGAAAAATTTAATCAAATTTGTTCAACCTGATCTTCCCTTTGCAAAGCCTGACTGTCCTTGAAATAATCTTCGTCTCTCCAAGTGGAGATGAATTCTGCTCCTCAGAATTTTTTTTTCAATAATTTCCTAAGCACAGATGTTAGACTCACTGGCCTACAATTTCCTGGTGTATCTCACCTTCTTGAATAATGGTACCACTTTAGGTGTCCTCCAGTCTTCTGCCATCCTCCTTGTGGCCAGAGAAAGATTTGAACATTCATGTCACAGCCCATGCAATCTCCTCCCTTGCCTCCTATAGCAGGTTGGGATACAGCTCATCTGGACCCATGGAGACAGACAGGGTCAAAGGGGTAGCATGGTTGGCACAGTGATTATCATTGCTGTCAGTGGCAGAGAACTGGGTTCAATTTCAACCTTGGGCGATTGTCTGTGTGGAGTCCCGATTTAAACCCAATCCCATAAATTCTAACCTCCACTCTCACTGTCCTCTAAGGGGCAACATTTTCAAAAAAGCTGGTACATATATGGAATGAGCTGCCATAGGAAGTCGTAGAGGCAGTACAGCTACAACGTTTAAAAGACGTTTGAACAAGTACATGGATAGGAAAGTTTACAAGGATATGGGGCAAACACAGGCAAATGGGACTAGTGTGGTTTGGGAAACTGGGCCGGTATGGATGAGGCTGGCCAAAGGGTTTATTTTTGTATGATGATATGACGCTTAAACAAGAAACAACTTATTATTAACTTTCAGGTCTGGCCTCACAAGCAAATAAGTTTATCTATACTTTTTTAAAATTAAATACAAGCTGCTGCTCACAACCCAAAGGTCATCTTCAGTTCACAGTACAAAACTCCGAACCAAAAATGATAAAACGGATAAAAAAGAATGAAAAATCAGTGAGAGTTCCAACATTATCTAATCCTTTGCATTCCTTGACATTCAAGGTTCTCTTGTTGGTCCCACTCTTCACCTTTACTGGAAGATGTTAGACATGCACTATTTCCCTTTAAAATTTCTCCCACTACTCTAATGTGGATTTACTTACAATTCGCTCCTCCCAGTCAACTTTGGCCAGATCCTGTCTTATCTTATTAAAAATCGACCTTCCTAATTCTTTACTTCATGTTCATTTGTGTCCTTATCATAATTACTTTAAATCTTACTGAATAATGGGCACTAACAAAATGCTCCCCCACTGCCACATTTATCACTTGCTCAGCTTCATCTCTAAACTTAGGATCAGCACCACTGCCTCTCTTGTAGGACTTTCTACACGATGGTTTGAAACAGTCTCCTGGACACATTTTAAGAACGCTTTCTCAACACCACCCCCCTCCCAAATAGTTTCACATTCAGCCTACCCCAGTTAATATGAGGAAAGTTGAAATTCTCCCACAGTTATTACCTTATTATTTTTACACTTCTGTGATTTGCATACTGTCATACCCCAACTGTTTGGGGTCTACAGTATACACCCAAAGCAATTGATCCTGTTTTATTCTTAAATTCTACATATGGCCTCATTTGAGGAACCAAAGATATCTTTGCTCCTTACTGCAGTTATTGACTCCTTAATCAATATTGCAACACCTCCTCTTTTATACTCATGCCATTTCGCCTAAAGATTTTATACCCAGTATACTAAGCCTCAAGTCCTGACACGCACTCAACCATTTCTCCATGACTGCAATTATATCACATCCCCATGTGTTAAACAATATCCTCAATTCCTCTACCTAACTTGCAAGACTCCTTACATCAAAATAAATGTAACCAAGCCTTGTCATGCGCCCTTGTACATTGACTTGACTATGTTCCCAGTGCCTTCTTGACTGTTTTGGTGGTTCTCTATACTCGTCTGTACATCATCACTTACTATATTTCTACTCTGTATCTCATCACCTGCCAAATTAGTTTAAACTCCGACCAACCACACTAGCAAACCTGCCCACAGGGATGTTTGTCCTGTTCTAATTCTGGTGCAAGCCATCGGACTTGCACAGGTCCTACCTTTCCGAGTGATACAGGATTCTAAAACCCTCCTTCTTGCTCCAGCTGTACTGCCACATATTCATCAGTTCTATCCATCTATTCCCATACTAACTAGCACATGGCATCGGGAATAATTCAAACATTAAAATCTTTGAAGTCCTGCTTTTCAATCTGCTACCTTGCTCGCTATTTTGTTATTACAGGGCCTCATCTCTCTTTCTACCTGTTGGTCCCAACTTAAATCATGATTTCTGACTTTGCCTTCCTTTTTCAAAGTTTAGTCAGCCAACTTAGAAAACCCTCACTGTAGACCTCCAATGCAAGTACAGAAAATCTTTTTATTAATCAGCACCTGAGACCAGGAGCAGGCCAGGTGATCAAATATTCTGGATAATCAAGAAGTACACGTAACCGCTGTAAACCCTGACCGAGCAAAGCCTTGAGACATCAACATCCCTCAAAACATTTATGTAAAAACATCAACATACCTTCTAAAATCACACAGCAAGCAATAGAAATGTAACAGAGTGAGTATACACACCAACACTATACTTTATTTATGGCATAACTACTCCATCATCACAGTAGATCGCAATTTCTGAGGTATCTAATTTTTATCAGTTTATCAAGGTTGATAAAGCTTCGATTAAAACAAAGTTTGCTGTATATCCTTTAAACGGGGAAACCACAACTGCACATAGAATGAGAGAGTCAGAGAGTCATACTGCACAGAAATAGACCCTTCGGTCCAACTCATCCATGCCAACCAAGTTTCCCATACTAAACTAGTCCCATTTGCTTGCGTTTGGCCAAAACCATGCTGTTACCAAAATCCTGTACAATTGTAGCAAGACTTTTTAGTCACTGTACTCTCACCACTGCAATAAAGACCACATGCCTTCCTAATTCCTACTTACCCACCTGCCAACTTGCTACATTCCTTGTATGATCTCACAA